GGGCAGGGCGAGCGGTACTTGATCGCCGCCGCCGGCTCTGGTCCGCACGCGCCACGCCCAGCGCGCCTCGGGTAGGCCTCCCCGCCGGGCGGCCCTGTGCAGCGCGCTGCCTACCCCGCGCGCGCCAGGCGCCCGCGCTCCGCGGAGACCTGCGCCAAGTCGTCGCCTCATCTCAGCTGACCGACCGCCACGCGCCACCGTATGGCGCCGCGCGTGCGCTCCAATGAAGCACTGCGAGTTGCGAGCAAGACAAAAGACGCTGTGTTGCTGAAATGAACCCGCGGCACAGAGGCTCACGTAGCTGACGTTATTGCTCACCTCAGGAGTTTTGTCATTCATTCGCTGCGTCGCGCACGCTGCTTTCCCCCGATCGCATTGGATTGCTTGGGTCACACCACACCACCATACCCAGCCACGTTGTTGTGCTCAGTCAAGCCTGGCTGCCTTGGCTCCGAGTGACTCACGGTAGTCGCTAGAGCCCCGCCCCGCCCCGGTAACTCGACACTCTGCTCCGGAGCTTCCATGCAGCCGACCCGGCGATGTCAAATCGCTGTGCATCCCAAACACCCGAAAGCGACAGGGTCCCCAGAGCCCCTCCCCCCCGGTGGAGGCCTCGGCCCTTAATATTTGATAGCAACTCGATCGCTCCCATTATATGTACCGGGCGGACCGAGCCATGCAGTCTACTCCAGTCTACTCGGCCCAGCGCTGGCTGGACGCAGCAACAGAAGCAACCCCCTCGCTGCCTCCACCTCCTCACCTAATGCATTCCCATCTCCCCTCGTCGCACTGGTTATCAACCCGGCAGATAGAGTAACCGTGTACAACGAGTGAGGTCAATCTGTAAACCAATTAGGGGACACTAGCATGCCGTCCTATTGTACAGAAGAGTGATTTTTGACCCATGCGACATATTCATAAAAAGAATTCTTGTGGATAGCGGGTATATGGGGTGTTGTTGGACAGTTGGGGTCGCAGACTACCCGTTAGAGTGCAATTTGATCTGAGCGCCTGATCGGTAGGCAACCTCTTGTAGGGCCGTGACCCCCCCTCCCCCTCCCCCCTCCCCGGGTGTTCACTGTAGAATAGATAGTATGTTTTCGCGGAGGGTGCTGCAGGAAGAGAACGCGAACGTTCTCTTTGGCACCATCTACCCTCAACCCTATCAGCAGCACGCGGAGAACGACGCCGCGGTCCTTTAAACAAAGCAGAAGACCGGGCTAAAGAGGGGCGTGTTCGCGGGGCGCTACGCCGCCACCCTCTCGTGCTGCAACCAAACCTGCATCTATGCCAGTACCTCCCCCCCCCCTCCTTTCCAGGCCCCCTATTGTCTCATCTTCATTGTGGGTTAGGTTTGCCGCCCAACATCTCCAAATAAAATGATGTGACAAAACCGCACCGCGGATGGCCTCTCGAGGTGAGTCCTGCCGCCGCCGCTCGTATGCGGTCGCCAACCCTCCACGTCCCCCTCGAGCGCACACAGCGCACCGGGCGCACCGGGCCGGGCTGGGCCAGCCACTCGAGTCGTCACATGCATGCACCGCAGCCACTCTCCCGATTGACTGATAGTAATGACATAATACGATTTCGCGTTTGCGGGCGGGGACATCTGCTTTATGCTGTGGGAAGCGGGCCGGGGTGGGGCGAGTGGCTTGAGATAGCATCTCGCCGCCAAGGGCCCGGCAAAGCGACCGGCACCGCCGCATCCC